CCCTATGCTCTCAGTCCTCCTTCTCTGCAACTTGATTTCATTTCAGTTCAAGGTTTAATGACCTGAACATTAACAATGGGTATTTGTAATATTTAAATTATCTCTTGATAAGCCAATAATGATAATTATGATTATAATTAATAGTGACAATGATAATAATGTTAATAATAGAAATAAAACATTTGAATTTCAAATCAGATCCAATGAAATTCACTAGAATATGTCCTGTTTCTAAAACCTGAAAAGATGGTGAGTTAAAATTGAGCTACTCTTTCCTAAGACTCTGCTATCATTCAAAGCTAAACATTTTCCATGTTCTTCACTGTGAAGTGCCCAATTGGTCGTTATAGCCTAGCAGATATAGCCAGTCTACTATGGAGCTGTACATAGTAAATGCCTTTTTTATTTTTATTTTTGTTTTTTTGAGACAGGGTTTCTCTGTGTACCTTTGGAGCCTATCCTGGCACTTGCTCTGGCACTCGAACTCACAGAGATCCGCCTGCCTCTGCCTCCCGAGTGCTGGGATTAAAGACAGTAAATGCCTTTTTTAAGACTCAGAATTTCTTTGGTTTATTTCAAATAGCTGCTTCTCTCAAAACATAAAAATGGAGTTCCAAATCAGAGAGAGAGAGAGAGAGAGAGAGACAGACAGACAGACAGAGAGACAGAGAAAGAGAGAGAGAGAGAGAGGTACATTTCATTAACCTTGCATTCTTTCTTTTTTCTTCAGCTTTTTCTCTGTAGCAAAGAGAATAGTAGTATTTTTTTTGCATATGTGGAAAGTGCTGAGATTTTTATTAGATTTACTTGCAGTTAGTCATAGGGCATCAAGTTTATATTATTTTCCAAATAAAAATTGTATTCTCAAAATGAATATTAACACTGAATGACACACTTTGGACTCCAAAGTGCATTAGTTATTGTCTCTATTCCACTTTACAGTCTGTGTTTATTGAACAAAGACTTTCAAAACCATTGTACAATTGTCAAAAATATCTGTACCTTGGAAATTTATGCATTAAAAAGTAAAGGAAGAGCTTTTTAAAAGCTAGAATCTTATTTTCATATATTCCTCTTTGTGTACTTTACAAAATTATGAATAACAGTATAGAAACATGTTTTCATGTATATGTTTATTTATACATAAAATAGGTGCAAGTATTAATGGTTCATAAATCTCTTACCTTTTATCTAAGCTCTCCTTAACATTTTTTGTAATAATTATTATAGTTTGGACATTTTACTAAATCATGAACAAAAGTGAAGGCTGGGCCTTCATGTATTTCTTCTAATCACACAACAAAATATAATGGGAGTGCTAAGTGACAGATATTATCAAACAAACATAAAACTTCATGCATTCTGAGTTATAAAAGTATTTAGAAAGGAGAATCTATGGTATGTAAATTAAAGAAAAACAAAGACAAACGCTTATCTTTTGTATTTATATTGTATTATAACTATCTCTGTAAATATCTTTACAGTGTAAGCTCTCAAGTTTTGGGTTTCAAAAGCCATCTGCCATGTTTACTATTCCTGGCAGTTTCAAAGAGCTTTTGCTGGGACAAATTACAACTGTGCATATTTTCTCGTTATTAAAGCAGAATTAAAATGTTTATTAATTCATTTTAAATAATAAAATCACTATTCTTTAAATACATTACATGTATTTAATAAAATCATTTTATTAAAAAAATGGGGTCACTTGTTCCCATTCTTCAGATCTGTTTCTTTGAGGCTTTAAACAAATAGAGCTGAATTCTCATGTTCAGTTTCATATGTAGTCTCTCCTTATGCCACACAGTAGATAGCCGCCAAAATATACTGGATATTCTCAAAGAATGAGAATAAAGGAAAAACCCATGTTAGCATCAGTTTTGAGTTATTGGATCCATGAAAACATCTTGGACCATAAGATTCCACTATCCATGTCTTGAGGTATGATTGACAAGGGAGAGGCTATTAACCTATTTCTCTTTATGTTTCCTTTTTGACAATGTTTTTATTTCCTATAAATAAATGAATTTTTTCATTATTAATTGTGCCTATTTTATGGCAGTTTTATAAATATTTTAGTCTACTTTGATCTCTGTATCTATGATAAGAGATTTTAAAAGACACTTGATATGTCTATTTTGAAGAAATTTAGTTAACAAAAATGTTTTCTAGTATATTTGAGAGAATGAGTGTGATACATTTTATTCTTCACTTCCTTGCTCTTATCCTTGGGTTCAGAGGTAGTTACTGATGTGTATATTGTTATTACTGCAGAAGCTACCATGCACATTATTTATTTCTGAACATTAGAAACAAGTAAAAATGGAAGAATTTATTCTGGAAAATTTTATATGTACAGGAAAACAACCAGTCTATGACAAATAGTTCATGGCAATACAGTTAGTGTTATAGCTCCCAGGATCACAAAATCATGGCCAATTTTGTTTCCTTTCTCTGTGTACTATTGTTCCTTCATACCTAGTTGGTTTTGAAGCTAATTTTAGACATGGTATCATTATTTGTATATATTTTAGTATCTCAAAAAGGTATTTTCAGTCATGACTAAAGCTAAAAAGAACATAACATATTTTTAAAATGCTCATAGAATAAATGCAAAACATTCCCACACAAACCAAATAACATAGGGAATAGCTTCTTTTAGTCATTAAAAAACACATAAATACACATACACACACATATATATGTTTCAAAATATCATGTTATACATAAGAGGATAGTTTTTATCTGTCAAAAATATTTACTGAAATAAAAAATCAACAAAGTGGTATTTAGAATATTAATTAATTAATTAATAATTATTATTTACTTATAATTAATAACTATATTATAAACCATAGCAAGCCTGATCTTGGCAGGACAGAAAACAAGGTCAAGTCAAAGGCTGAAATTTCTGTTTGCGGGTGTGCCTACCATTAGATGCTTTATAAAGACGTCATGTGTGGTTCCTGACTCACATGTTCATACATTTAAAATAATCTAGATTCCTTAGGACTTACAGAAAATATTATATATTATATCAAAACATTTAATTTTGTATGGAACTATGTTCCCTAAGGATAAACAAAACTATACACTTAGTGGTGATTATTGAAGTGTGAATAAATATGGAAAATATTATTTTATCAAGATTGAAAATAAAGGAAACTTGGAAGCAGATAACATGTACATTTTCTAAAAAAAAAAGTTTCCAAAATTAATAATTCATTTTCCTCATTATGAAAAAATGAAGGTAAGTGATTTTAGTTTTAGAGTATAGCATAAAGGTAAATGATTTCAGTTTGAGTATAGTATTTATAATAGTCAATTAATAGCATTTATTTCCATTATTTTTATAGTTTAAACATTTTTCTAGTCTAGATAAAGCTATAATGAGTTAGAGAAGATAAGGCTGAGAGGAAATCCTTTAATATGAAGCAAAAATAATGACACAAATAGAAGAATACATTGATATAGGACCTGTTAATTTAGGGGAAATGCTTCAAGATTTCTATTATATATCCCATGAAAATAATAATAACATCACCAGAAAAATATTGTGCTATTTTGATTTATGTTCTGGAAGCAACTGAAATAATTTTCAGGAGGTAATAACTTTTACAAATGCCCCTCAAAGCACTAAATGGACTCAGTATGTAAAATTTTCCAAAAATTTCATTATCAAATCTAATTTCAACTATAGAATACACTTTATAAAAATGAAATGATGGAAAAAAGAGCACTTGAGTTTCAAATATTTCCCTAGTATTTTCAATCTGAACAATAATAGATACATAAAATTAAAGTATCTTTCTTTGGTCCTAGAAAAAAAATACCCATCTCAACAGGAAAACAATACTAGATTTCTAAGTGACGAGTTATCTGTGGAAATAGAGAGCAAACAATCCCTCATTGCCGAATCATTCATCAAAATCTGCAGTACAATTGTAGCAGAGGAGACAAGTGAATTTCTGTGTCATCTTGAAAACAAACAAAATAAAATAGTGTGTACACCATGTTAGATCTACCTCTTGTACAAAGAGCACAGAAATGTCTTTAAAATTTTACCAGTATTTTATGTTTATATTGGCTGGACATGAAACACAGATAGTGCACAGTAATTGAGAAAGAACATAAGAAACATCCAGGGTATATTTCATACACTTAAAAAAATTTTATCTAACACTTCAAATGATGGAAATCTCATTTGTAATGTGAAAAATCTCAATTTTTCAAGAGTTTCAAGCTCAGAAAATACAAAGAAACACAAAAATGGTTATGCTGGAAAAGATATAGGAACCATGACAATGAAATATAATGTGAGATGTAGCTAGGATACAATGTATCCTAGCGTTTATCTTGAGGCAGTAGATAAAGTAATTGATGAGTGGAGAAACTCAAAATTTGGGTAAAACCCAACAGCTGTTTTAATAACATCATATTCATGTTGATTTGCTTGGGTATATCAGTTTATGCCAGATTTATGTCAACATTAGGAAAACTGGGCAAAGAATGGACAATGCATCACTTGGTACCATTTTCTTGAAGTCTGAAATTATTTCAAAATAAGAAGCTTATGAAGTCTACTATGAGCTTTGATCTATAAATAGACACAAGGAACTGGAAAGAATCTGTTCCTAAGATCTCCACGCTTCTATATTCTCTATACTCAGCTATCAAGAGTATTCAAGAGTGCAAGCCGTACCATCATGCAGTGACCACAATACTTCCTTGAGCAGTAATTATGGGCATGGCCAAATTATGCACTGTTAGAAATATAGAAAATGCAGAGAGGATACTTACCACTTAGTGACTTGTCATGTAAAAAATCATGTCATTAATGTTTTTTGTGTTCAAGTGAATAGCCTGTTATTTTTGGACATGTGCTAAAACAGATATAAATGGTTGCTTTCTAAAATTTAATGAGTCATTTAAACTGAAATACAAACACATATGTCAATGTGACATTGGAATTAGAAATTATCAGATAGTTCAATTGGCTTTACCTGAAACTGTGTGATCCTTAGAGTCTCTAGTTATTTTTATCCTTGTATGAGGAAAGATGTAGTGCATTGTCTTGCCATTCATCTGCAGAATCTAGGGCACATAAGGGATTCGGTAAAAATAAGCAATTAAAAACCCCTGAAATACATTATGCAAAACTACACTTGCTCAATTCAAAGCTCATCAATTAAATCAATGAAAATATACCAGAAGATTCTTGAATGATGGCAACTGAAGAATTTGGACTCACACTGCATAATGATTAAATTGGTTTCTGAGTTCATTATGGTGTTTCATTTATAACCAATCACTCTTGAAGACTGACTTCTCTTATTTTTGGAAAATCAATGAGCATCTGTATTTGGTTTCCAAGGGTGTTTCTGACTACAGCGATATGTACTCATTATTGATGACAAAGAATAATTTAGATTGAGAAAAGCCAGTCCTTGATTTTGCACTTGAAAGACAGGAAATGGAAAAGCATTCTCAACTTTAGTAATTAAGTGAAACTAATTGAGAAATCTCAGAGAATATCCCCTCTTGTCACATCCCTGTCACCATAACTAGGTCTGTGGTATATTTAAGGTGCTTAAATTTTATTGTGGAATTTTACTGAGAACATATTCATGTTCAGAATAGTCTTTCTAAATGAATAGACTTTGTTCATGCAAATCCTCCCTGTTGCTGTGTTTATATGCAAAGGCTATGTTACTGATTGAGACATTTACTATAGGAATTTTGAAAGCAGAAGGAGCAATACCAAAGCTACTGCTGTGTCTGTGGCTTCCACACTATTTCACAATTGGAATTTGTTTTTGTTTGTTTGTTAATTTATTGTCTGTGTCTTTTACATCATGTATCTTGATCCCATTCATTCCCTGTTCCTTCTCTTCCACCCCCAGTCCCTGCCCCACCTCCAAAGAAAACAAAATTTAAGAGAAAAAGGAAAAAATTAAAAATCTCATTATGGAAGCTAGAGTGTGACACGGTGAGTCATGCCATAAACCCCATGGTTAATATATCTTTACTTGAATGTATTCTTTGCAAAGAGTCATTGATCTGATTTGTGGCCTCAGGTTCCTACTGCACTATTGATGCTAGGTCCTCACTAGGTCTCTTCCTGGCTATCCTGTTGTTGAGATTATTCCTTCAAATTGATTTACATCGCCTCATTCTTATTTCAATGGTTTTATGACTTCATGCCGTTTACCCAATTGGTCAAAAATAAATTAAGACGACACTATTTTGCATTTAGGGTTTCTTTCTGTTTTTTAGATTCTTACTACAGATATAACATCATAATCCATAGACTGTAGTTTGCAAGAATAGGGAACTTCTTAGTGTGTTCATGAGAGTTTTTATCAGTGAATCATTATATCATTTTAATCAACTTCTGTGATGTTGGGATACTGAGAATCTTCATTTCCATGATTGTCTACTTCACACAATTTCACATTTTTAAAGATTTGCAACCAGACTCATGAGTTCACTCACTAAAACAGTAATCTTTATAGTTATGATTGATATGGATGAGCCAATTGATAGCAGATCACAATTGCAGGTAAATATTGACAGAGTATTCTGGGAGATAGGCTTATGGGGGCAGTTGTTTTTGTTTGTTTTTGCTTTGATTGTTTTATACCAATAATATCAAGAGCATGACAGGGACACAGGGAAGTTAAGTGACACACCAAAGTGCTAGACTATGTTTTCATAGTCTTTTGAGAACTACATCAACAAGATTGTCACCTGCATGTACCCCAGAAAATGCATTGTTCTTCTTTCCTAACCATAAATATTATCACAAGCAAGTCTACATATTTATGAATCAATTAATTTTGCATTAGCATAATTTTTATTTACACATTCATCTGCTTTGATTAGCATAAATGCTTGATATAGGAAACAGATGTTGGCCCGTTTTCTCACACTGTACTGGGCATTGCACAAACTTACATGTCAGGGTGTGTAGGGCAGAGAGCTTCTGTGTTGTATATGATTGTGATCAAAGACACAAGACATGGTTTATTACTGAAGTATAAGGGAAAGAGACTTGTTCTAGTTTTGTAGCAAGATGATGCTGGTAGTACCATAGATATCCTATTGTGTGAGGCGGCTTATTCATGAAAACCTGGATGACCAGTATGCTTAGCAAAGTGACCAGAGTCTAGAGAGAGAAAACACAGTGCTCAGCCACAAATATAAGAAAAAGCATGGCCCCTTCAGAGGAGGTATTAACCTCCTAAGGCAGGAGCTCCAAAGGATTTGCAGATGACTTGAGCTTTATTTACTGTGACACTGGGGAATATTGTTATAGTCCATATATGGTGACTTACTTTTACAACTATCATGTAAAAGATATTGACCTTTTCTTTAAAGAAAAACCTTAAAAATAATTGAGATTAGATGGTTTATTTCACAAAAACACTTGGATTTCTCTTGAATTGTACAAACATTAAAGCGTACGTATTTGAAAGGAAACAAATACTGCTTTGGTAAATTGTAGTCTTTTGTGTACAAATTTTTACAGAGGACAAATTCATGCTTGAATTAGTCAATTGAATTTTATCCTATTTCCCCCAGAGCACTTCATGGCAATCAATTCTTGTTTTACATTTTTCAAGTAATAGCATCCTCTTTAATGGTATCAAGGGCTCACTATTACTTTTTATTATCAGATATAATAAAGAAGTAAATAAAATGAAATTGTCCCTAGACCAAAATAAAGTTCTTGATTTAAAGGAGAAATCAGTATTTGAAGATAAATATCAATGCAGGAAAGTGTGAACTTAACATGAAATTAAGCAAGTGCTACATTTTTGAGGCATTTGTTGTTTTCTCTATATAATCCATTTAGAAGACATATAAAGAAAAATGAAATTATTGCCATAAAAATCAACATGTCTGCTACTTGTTTATGGGGAGGCTGTGATTCAAGAGTGGCTTGCAGGTTTCTGGGGTAGGCCATTTTCCCTGCATTGGCTATTGGGGGTATTTGCATGGCTGTTAGAGTAGTTTATAACTTTATGCATTTTTCCTTTTGATTATTACATATTGTTTTACAGTTTAATAAATAGTAGTGCAAAGGTTCACTTCTGAAAATGTAAGAGTTCTGTTAGCAAGAAAATACCTTATGATTGGTACATTCACTTAACAAAGATCTTTATGCTTATATTTCATGAACTGGTCAGAATTTTTTGAAACAATCACCAAAAAACCCTTTTTGCTCTATTTTTGTATTACACTAGTCTGTAAGCACATATTTAAGATATGATGAACTGTAACCTCAAAGTTACTGATCTGCATATGTCAGTACCAGAAAACTAAAATCAAAATGTCATTTGTAATACATGTATTTCATCTATCCAAAAAGAACAGAATAAAATTTCAGGAATTTATTAAAATAGATAAAGATTAACTCAATGTAGTCTCAAATAACATTAGGTAATAATTACTTGAAGAGCTGAGTTTCCATGGAACAGTATTTGATGGCAAGTAGAATTTTAGACTTGTGGTTTCTATAGCAGCTGTTATTATGATTTAGTTAATATATTTAACATCCTATTGTCATTTTTAGAGGACACTAAACTACAGAGACCCAGATGGGCAATAAATAATAATTACATTGGTTTCATTATTGTGGATATTCCTAACCAGATCTTTATGATGAGATTTGAAATATAACTATAAATACAATGTTAAGAGTAACAAGAAAATAAAATTCAATATAATCTGATATATTAAAATACAAAAACCCGAAAGTAGCTCTTTCCTGCACTCTTTACCACAAATCCCCTGGGGCAGAGAGGACTTCTCCCGTCTCCCTCTTTTCTTCTGTCCTCTCTTTGTCTCTGTGTCTCTTTACCTTTTTTTCTTTCCTTGACCCTCCCTCCCCTTTGTAATAAAACTTCTCACTTAAAAAAACCCAAAGCATTCAAATATTTAGTCAATATAATCCTAAAGCAATAATGTATTATTCCAAGACAGTTTATTACAGTGAGAAACCCTGTCACAAAAAAACAAACAAAAGAACAAAAAGGATGTGTTAAAAATAAGAAAAGGAAATGTTTATGATAATTGTAATATACATGTCTGTATTGCACAATGTTCTTTCAGCCTCTTCAGCAGCCCCATCTATTTCCCTTTCTTTCAGTACCAGAGATGGTATATCCATACAATAATCCATTGCATGAATGAACCATTTAAATTGTCTGATACAAGCATCACAAATGTCCATCAAACAGATAAAGTACTTTCTTCATTAAATTACAGAAAGGAAACAATTTTTAACTAGATTGGCAAATATTTCAGTTTACAGAGTAGTCTATTTTAGAACTGACTCTTGTTGATAACAAATCCAAGAGACTGTAAATTTTCTCACTTACTTGCTCTTGATGTTGACTGAGGGGTCTGGAGTGAACCAATCTTTCTGGCAGTTTCCGGTCCAGAACATGACCATTTTCCAACCGAGACTCCCTGGGTTTATCAAACCAATCCGTTTCCTCCCGACGCAAGTGATAGGCTTTGGAGACCAAGGAAACATCATACATTGCAACCGCAACTAATACAGGTGATAGAGGGAAGCAAATGTTCTGCAGTATTAGCATGCATTGGGCTTTTGACCACGCATGCATTTCAGACATAACTCCCATCAGAAGTAGAAACATTTCCAATGGTATCTAAAAATTTTCATACAACAGAACAATCTAAAGAAAATGAGGCACACATATGCTCAACATCTCATAGTAAAATAAAATAAAATTACATTGAAATCAGTATAAATGAAATTTAGACAACAAATAAATAAATAAATAAAGTTATATAAGAATAATTTTGTTCAACTTAAGTCCATCAGTTCCCACTTAGAAACCTTACCTACAACCCACCATGTATGACCAAAAGTCAACAGGAAATGCACATTATGAATGTGCAAATTTCTTTTAACTTTCCACTTTTGTAAAACCCAAGCAGCAGCATATAGCTTTTGGCTTTAACACTGAATGAATATATTTTTTGAAAATATGACATTGCTTTGACAATAATAAGCAAAAAAAGCATTTAATACCAACATATACTATTTGTCATTGCTAGAAACATGTATACTATAAGAAATTTGTAGCTTCATAAAAATAACTAAAGTAAGTATATATGAGAATCTTTAATATAAATAAAATTATCACTATCTGAATTTTAATGCAGATTTAGAAATTTGACCATTACCTTTTATTAACTTACCACCATGATAAAACTTGATAGTATATTTTCAAATTTATCACATTTGAAGCATTCAAATACAAATTTTAAAAGTTCACCTAGTTATATCAGCACTTTCCAGACAGATTTCTTTAGGATATTGCAAAGTGACTAAAACTTCCATTTTACTGAATGGCTAACACTGCATTCAGCATACATTGCTTCTTCTTGGCATTCCTTGACTATATTCTTGCCCTCCACCCACACCCCAGTTAACAGCCCTTGGAAATAATATATTGGTTTTTTTCCTCAAATGGTGATGAAAGGACTTGTTTCCTTGCCCAACTACATGATGCTTTCAATATTATTTTCTTGAAATGGCAGCTTCTGAAATGCCACAAATTGAGCTCTCCATTCTATCTTGTTCAAGGTGGCTTTTTGTGTCTATCAGATCCTTGAAAAATATCTCCAGGGATTGCCATTTCTGGTATTTATTGGCTGCTAGGGTTAGACAGCTGGTGTGTGCACCACTGCTCAGCTACACATCTGTAGCCTTTCACAGCACTGCATTTCAACCTCACCACCTCTCCCAAGTACACACGAAATGACAGGTGGCATAGCACAGCTTCGCCAATTTTAGATTTGATGCCTACATTGTGGCTACATACACTCTTAACTCATTTGCCCATTAGACTAACAGCTGCTTGAAGAGGAAATTCATATCTCTGCTGTTATTTTCTCTTCCGTCTTCTTTGGAGCATAATGTTTAATGAATTTGTGTGGAATGAGTGAATTATAGAGTTATTTGTCATCATCTAAATAAAAAAGCTAAAGATGATCATTATGATAGTTTTTGTTAACTTGTCCTTAAACCTAGTTTATAGATATTCAATTGTCTTTTCACAGTCTACTTGATAATTATTGTGCCAAAGCACGGTGCTAATTCGAAGCTGAGTGAATAAATTTACATAATTATTCAGTATAACAAATACTTGATAAATAAAACAATTAACCAGATCATCATCAGTGTGTGGACTTACTAGATTATACTTAACCTCCTTAGAATAAAATAGTTTTGTATAGGTATTGCTTATATTTATCATGCATTTTAAATATTCTTGAAAAGAAAGTAGTGATTTATCATGTTTTCAACATATCTTTATCCTGAACAATATAAACTTTCATTTGAATATATAACTTTCCTAATTGCATTTTAAATACAACTGTTAAATGTGTTTTAGGGGGCTCTGGATATAGCAAATATGACAGACCCTCAACTTGATCTGATTTTTCATCAGTTTATCTTAAATTCTAATGACCCATTTTGATTTTTGTTATTTCCAATAATAGAACCATATGTAACTGAATGTAAAATACATCTACCATCTTTTATGAGCATGTAGAATCAAGCTAGAGCAACCAGATTGAGTGACTCTGTTCTTGTATGACATTCTGTCAGCCTCATGGAGTTCCCGGTATGCTAGATTAGCTGTTCCTAACAGCTTGTGTTTGATCTGCTGTAATGGAACCATATTACAAATGAATTTTATAAAATGTAACATGTCTGTTCCATACTGATTCAAATAATTTTCTTTGTTTTATTTATATCACCACAAAACTTCATGTATTTGCATGATATACAAACAATGAAAATATATAACATTTTACTGTGCACGTATTTTGAAGATATCTAGTATGATGTAATCACAAAGTTACTAATGTAATTCAATTGGTTATATTCTTTTATCTAATTCTGCATTGATATTCTTTATAAATGAGTTTTGTCTGCTTCATTTTAAAATACATTTTGGTTCTCACATCTCCCCTCCAATTGTTCTCTGCTTTGGTACCAACTTTATTTGTCTTAATACTGTGTAGGATATGTGCTATCTTACCATGTTATCATCAAACAAGAGTTTAGTCAGTGATCACTGCCATCCACAAAATATAGAAACAAAATTACTCAGTGAATTTCATGTGTATGCCATCAAGTAAATGCCACATTTTGGGCTAATTACAAACAATTACATGTCTAACACCAAGTTGACGACACATTTCTGAGGACTAACACTATTTGTCAAATTCTTTGCAGGTAATTGTCATCTATGATCACAATAGATTGTCACCTATGTGCACATGTCCTTTAGGTATTGAGTTGCTCCATAATTCCAAGAGTTTTTGCTTTATTTTTACAGATTTTTGCATGGAATAGCTTCCCTTTCCATTTAATAGTCATTCTGCATGTACACAATTAGTATAAAATACATACTAGACTAAAAGAACACCTGTTTCCATGTAATATCAAAATTCCAGGTGAGCTAAGCAGAGTAATTCAAATATTGGTCTACTACAGATATACACAAATGAAATGCATTGTATAAATAACAAACTGTCAATAAAAATGGTCAACCAATCAGCCTGTAACAAGTAAAAAAAAAAAAAAAAAAAAAAAAAAAAAAAACAGGTTTGAAAGAAACTTGGTGATCAGAACTTCATAAGCGATGTAAATGGTCCTTTTATTTTAGGCCCACAGACCTCTTCAATTCAGCAGTCTGTATTTCAGTTTTGAAATCATTATCTGTGTCTCCATATAGAATAAAAAAAGAAATGCTCTTCATGAAAACACCTTTTCATGTGTTTTTAATTAAGAAGATTCAGATGGAAGGATATTCACATCAGTTTAGTATTTTTTTTTAGTATCCAAATGAATGAGGTATTATTTTTTATTTGTCTAGACATGTTTTATTTCCTGGGCTTCAGCCCCACATATATTCAAACACAAACCAATATACAAGATGGTTAAGGGGCCTCATGTTTTTGATACAATCACTTAAGGGGCTGAGATCGAGGATCACCATAAATATGAAGCTAGTCTGACCTGTATAGTAACTTCCAGGCCTGAATGGGTTACAGAATAGGACCTATCTATAAAATTTAATAAAGTAAATAAAATGTGTATCTGACATCAGAGACTTTACAAAATAATTTTGAAAATATTTACATTTTTATAAGCATTTCCACTTAAAAGCAACTTTAGTGTAGTGTTGCTTGCTCAACCAAAAATGTAGCAAGACACTTTTGGGAAGAAAGGAAAGGCAATGGAATGCCAAAGGGTACAGGGGGAAGAACTGAACTTCAGGGCACAGCAGAATGGCCTACACTACAGACAGTGACACCCTCATGTAGCCTATTTCAGTTTTTAAACAGATTGCTTTATATATACTGAAAAATTATTTTTTAATTTCTTAATTGAGTTAAACTAACACATAACACTAAATGAACAAATACATCAGTAATAATCTTTTTGATGAAGGGTGATGAAACACATCTACTCAAAGAGAATGATAAAATTATAGATTATACTAATGTCAAGCTGTTGTAAAAGCTCTCTGCAAGAGAATAACCTCTGGTGAAGCCAACATTCATCTCCATTACAAAGTAGAATCAAATATTATTCAATGGCTTCAGCCCTTGGGACTGACATGTAAAACAAGCTTGTTTCTAATTTAAATAAAAATAGAAAAAATATTAAATATGTTAAAATGTATTTTTAAAGTACAATGAACCATACAATGAAAATCTTCCCGGTTATGTATTTTAAGGTTGACCATATTTTATTGGTAGAATTGTTTAATGCTTGTTTAAAAAACTGTGACACAAAACAAATCAAGCCAACAATCAGGAAACAGAGTAAAATAATAAACTAAAACCAATCAAAGAGAAACATGCCACTGAATACTACACACAAGAAGTACACATACAAGAAATAAAATTGAAATAAACATGCACAAGTTGCACCACGAAAGATGGACTACATCCTTGGAGAAATAAAATTAAACATGCAGAAAGATACACATTTGAGTTTTGAGAGTAACAGAGTAGTTTGAGGCCCAATTTACCTTCACTGTCAGACATAGCATGTTGGAAGTCATCCATGATGAATGCTATGTCACGGTCATAGCCCCGTGTCCGTGACTCTTCTCTCATGTGTTGTTGAACTTCGGGCAATGAGTGACTTGACCCAAACTGATCCCTCGTGTCTGCAGATATGGGGGGCAAAGGCCCAGCTGCAGCCCTCGCCATTCCCATTGGTTGTCCAACAGGACTGAGTGGACTTTCTTCTTCTGAATTCTGGGCTACAATTGGTATTCTTCCTCTACTCTGGCTGATTGGTAGGCTGGTGGGCTTAGTTCTCGAAGAAGATGAAGAATGGCCAAATGAGACATCAAGAGCTTCAGCCTCTTGAGCTTTCAGTCTTAATGATGAGCTGGAAGAATCCCTCTTAATTGATAAATCAAGCCCATAGACAGAGGAAGGTCTAGAGGAAGGCCTGGACCTGCTCCCACTGCTGTATGACTTATCTGCTTCATCCTGTAGAGCTGACCTGATGGTATTTCCTAAGGTGCCCAGTCCTGACCCAAGGGATGAGCCCATAAATTTTTGTTGATCTGTGATATTTTTTCTGAGGCCAAATGTGATATCATCTTGGAGAAGTCTTGCCCTAGAAGAAATACCACCAATAGATGAAGTACTAGAACTCATATAACTTGGATAATCAGGTTCAAGGTCTCTACTTTCTTGAATAGGTGAAAACTTTGACATTTTAGGATCGATTAATGATTTCTTATGCTTTGATTGCTTTTGGTAAAGTATGGCTGCCGGCAATTGCTTGGCTGCTTGCTTTTCAAGGGTGAGTCTACTGATGCTGTACTTTTCAGACTTGGGAAAATGTCTATAGCTGGTGTCAGCATGGTAATAGTGCGGAAGACCAGCCAGGTGATCTAGGCTCTCTGTGCCTCTACGGAATTCTTGCTTAATCTGCTGTTTCAGAAGCTTTAACTCATAAGGATCCTCCATGGGGTCCTCCTCCGCTTTCACATAGCTGTGCAGTCTGGAGGAAGTCTGCAAAGGCGCTAGGAAATCTGTCACTTCTTGAGACCTACGTGTCTCGGTGGTTCTAAGGAGACGGTCTGTCTTAGACAGATCCTTTTCATGAAGACTAAACGCTGTGCTCAGTGCTGCCGTACCTTTGGTGATCTCTCCAATGTCATCTATTAGGACATAATTCCTTGAAGTGTGGTGGTCAATATCTGCATAGAAAGAGTCTGCAGAGATGCTTGATATCGGACTGCTTACCATGCTGCTCCTTTCCTCCAAACCTATTCTCAAATCTAAACTGTTGTACTTACTCCCAAGGTGGGACACAGCGTATGTATTATCAGTAGAAACAGGAGCGATCATCAGGGGTTGGTTGCGAATCACTTCATAGTTGGAAGTGATCTTGGGTTCCAAATACAGTGTGGTTTGCCGAGGCTTCTGCTGTATCACCATCATCTGTGATGGTAACTGATAAGATGGTTGTGGGCTCGGAGTGGGTTGAGCCTGGGGTGTGAAGGACATCGTTGCCACCGCTTGGAAGGTTGGCTGAGTCTGATAAGGTGAGACTTGCTGGTGGTACAATGTCTGCTGTTGAAAGTGAGATTGTTGAGTATACGGGGTGGGTGCTTGGGTGGGGAGAGCAGGTGATGAGTACTGATACTGTGTGTAAGGACTTGTAGGAGGAACCAGCTGAGCTTCTGTTTGGGTTTGTGGCGGTATGAACTGGCTGAATTCAGTTTGAGGAGCTGTCCTTGGTCGCTCGATGCCATGCTGACTTTCTATTCGGCTTGGTCTGGTGCTGCTGACCTCGCTGTCAGACATGTAATCACGGTCCTCAGCCACCCCCTGCAGGTAAGCACGCTCCCTCTTTTCTCTCTCCTTCAGTAAGGCTTCCTTTCTCCTGTTAATTCCCATTTCCAGATACCGCAGCTTGGCATCAATCTCCTTTTCTTCTTCATCAAGTTCTGCTTGCTTCTTCCTAAGCTTGGCAGACTCCCTTTCCACGAGGTCAAGCTCTCGGTCTATGTCCTGGAGAATCTTGGCTCGAGCCATGGTATTGGTTCTGCACATTCTTCTCCTGGATGCAGTGCCCAGTGTGCTGTAAGTTGACTGTGTTCCCGTCGACGCTTCCTCGGGAGGGGGATTTGGCAGAGTTCTCTTTACTTTTTTCTGGGTACCAGAGGCTGTCATGGTTTGAGAACCTTTAGTCTACAATCAAGTAAACAGAATGATATTTTACTATCAAATAAGAAGACCAAAAAAACAAAAAACAAAAAACAAAACAACAACAACAAAAAAACCTAATGAAGTCCCCTTGAAAAACTGAGTTCACATACATTGTAGAATCATAGAATGGTAAAATTAAAAAGTTTCAAAAGTTGAAAAGACATAAAATCAGCAAAATTTATTCTTTGTAAATTAGTTTTTTTATAATCATAATATCTGTAAATATTAAGGTGAATATTTAACTCAGGGCAAACTCTTACTTCATGCAAGATTACATTTTAGTTCATTAAATGTGTAGATTTAAATTTAAGTGTGTATGGGTTGAATGTGTATTTGTTTTGGTATTCTAAGAGAGAAGAAAGAAACATCTTTTTTTAATAAAAATGTTGAGCAATAACAAAACTCACTTTTAAAATTTTTTCAAAAAGTTGTTATGAATAAGTATAAAATTAGATGAGATAGAGCATTTTGAACTTGCTCAAAGCCCTGTTGCTCTGGCATATTGGAGGATAAAGCACAGAAATCGTGTATGTGGGAATAGCACAAACAATCCAAAAACAACAACAACAAAAAAAACCCCTTCTATGTGTAAAAACATCATACATTGAATAGTTTTTAGGAATTGTGTGAAGAAATTACTTCATGAGTTTTGCATGACTAGACCATTATGTATTACACACAATACATGTGCTAATAAACACAAATTACATGGTAGAGGAGAAGCATTTCTATGTACCATACTTGGCATGAAAGCATGAGGATCTAAGTTTGATCTCGAGGAAACTGCATAAAAAAGCTGGCCACAGACAAGAGTTTATAAAGTAAGCATTGTGGTAACGGAGACAGGTGGACCCCTGGGCCCCTAGGGCAAACCACTCTAGTTGGGCCAGTGAGCTCCAGGTTCTGCAAGGGAGCTTTACTTAAAAAATAAAGTGAAGAGCAATTGAGAAGACACCCAACATTGACCTCTAGCTGACACATACACACTCACACACAACACACACACACACACACACACACACACTCACACACAACACACACACACACACACACACACACACTCACAAATACACTCACACACACAACCACACTATTGCACTACTACTTTCTTGACTAGCTAGCTCTTGGTTTTAATATCTGAGATATAGTAATAAACTATCCTTATGTCACTTAAAAGATACAGCAATGTACTTCTCATTTCATAGACATATTAATAAATACGAATTATGATAATTATATGTATCTTGACTTTGCAGATTTGTTTTCTCTGTTAAAAAGGAATGATTTCTATGAAGTGCTTTTTTCTTTTAAAAGACAGAGTATTTATATTAAACAGTACAAGCAACCAAAATTGTTGATAAAGAGGACACTTTGATAATGTAAAGGAAGAGTTTCTTAGAGAAAACTTAGTCTCTTTTTTTAGTTGGTCCATGCAATATGCCAGGAGGTAAGTTAGAAGACCATCTAGTGTATTGGACCCAGAAATAAAGTTTTATTTTCAGTGTGGGAAAGGAAAAGATAACATATGTAACAAATTCATAAGCCAAACAAATGGATGGGTTTTAAAGAGGTTTGTATTTTCTATGTGGAGGGACATGCATAATATTTAAGTTTTCAGGGAAATAGCAAAGATCATTTGGCTTCATTATTAGTGGGTAATGCATATATAAATGCATCTATAAAATCTGATCCAGCGACTTCTTGATACAAGCTTGGAGAGGTAAACTGGAAAAGTAAATAAACGTATGGGAACTTATAAAACAAAACTTTGAAGTCTCTATCTATATTAAAAATTCAAAATACTTATGCCATTCTCTTACAGGCTGCAGAGGCAACCCTGGCAAACCACCAAAGTGTCAGTGTTCAGTCAATGGCTCTGGCTTGTGATACTGTCCACTGAGTAGTAATTAGTGTGGCTTTGGTTAAGAGAAAACATCCCAATCTAATTTCCTTCAGTGACTATGTAGCAGTCAGAGCACATAACACAATGGCAATCGACATTATATACCACTGTTTCAGCAGGACATTTAATGTCTTCCCAAGACGGTCACCAAAATAGGTTGGGCCATAGGAATGGAAAATAGCAGTATTATCTAATGGGTACATATGCACATCATGGATATTCATGGTTTGGCACCCATGCCACACATATTATATATACATTTATAATTAGCCAGTTTCTTATCCTTCTTAATAATCTATTGGCTCCAAATGTTTCTCTGCACTATTGACTATTTTGAATTTTGGAGGATGTTTATTTACACCTATGGCCATTATCTACCACAGATAATATAAAAATGAATGCTTTCATGCACCAATCATCTCCTCAAGCAGCCTTTAGCTAGTACTCACAGATAATTAGGAAATGTTCTCAAGAAGAGATCATTGTTCTATTATGATTAAATCTATATAGCTGTGGATAAGACTACTCTCTGTATGTCTCTCAAACAGCTTTGGTCTGTGTGGGAAAACATATTTCAAAAATATAACCAAACAACCAAACATACAACAAACAAAAACCTGTTCCTGGAATGGTGTCTGGGAAAGCCATGGGTGGGATAAAATACTCAAGAAAAAAAAAAGTCATGTTACAGTAACGATCTGATAAAATAAATAAAGCAAGAATGTACTAAATTATTTTGCCTCATTACTCATTTGCCCCATGATAGTAAAATAAGTTCACCTCTTCAGTTTACTTTTTGCAAGAGTGGGCTCTTAGAAGGTAAGATGACCCACCACTTAGGTCTTTTTAAGGAAGCTGTTTCTTCCTTCTCATCTTTCCTGTCTTCTTCACCTTCTTTTGGCTATGATGTCGACCAGTGAGGACCTCACAAGAGATTAGACTGACAGAGGGACTGATCTGTGATATTCAGCAAGCAACACTTTCAGGCAATTACAGTTTTTGTTCTTCATAAAATACTTAGAATTATTTGTTACAGTAACAAGATATGACATAAAATTCTGAGGAGATATTCCACTGCTGCAGCAACTATGAGGAGTGGCAGGGAAGATACTGTGAACAAATTCTGAGGAGATATTCCACTGCTGCAGCAACTATGAGGAGTGGCAGGAAAGATACTGCCAATCTGACTGAAAACTTCATAGATTGTAGACTCCATTAAAGGCTATCTACTACTAAGTTTAAAAGAATAAATACACATGAAAACTCTAACATTGCACTTATTTAGCATGCAAAGTTAAATACTGGAATTACTCAGTGAGGTCAGTTGTGTAGCCAAACAAAATTTGAAAACCAGGAAATCCCAGCCTTCAAAAAGATAATTTAACAAACAGAGAGAACAAAAATGCATCTGGAATATACGGGGAATTAAAAACATAGTTGGGAGCATTTTAACAAACGATGAAGTGGTAAGCTAAGGAAATACATATTGTAGTTCCTTCCAGTTAAACTGAGTGCAAGTAGAATTAACTCTGAAATGCCAATGGAAATGCTAAGACACTTTCCTGTCTCCATGCCTGTCCATCTACAGCATGACTTATCAATTTTGAGACAAAAAAGTAGTTGAATATAGAAACAGTCAAGAGTGTGTCTTTCGCCGTATGCCATTAGTTAAGTGTTCACAGAAAAGCTTTATCCCCTCCCTGTCTCAACTCCCATGGGTTTAATGGAAGGAAAATGCTAAAATTCTACTTACAGAAAAATGCTTAAATACCATTGAGATTCTCAAATCCATTATACACTGCAATGGGGTATAGAGCTTTGCTTCATATATGTCTTCATATATATGAAGTAGGACATCAAATCTTTTCAATTACAGTGTTTCAGTCCATATGATTGACTGTTTACATGATCATAATGCTAGAAAAATGGTACAAGGATATGGTAATATCTTCAAATTGGGGGGAAAATCAGATGCTTAATAAAATATTGAGTGTATACTACTGATAGGGAGAATTTATCCTTTGTGAAGGGAACTGAAGTTAGCCAGAGGATAGTTTAATTGTAAGAGTCTAGGGACAATAATAAAGGTAAAGAAATAATAATGGGTAATGTGTGAAACTAAGTTACAATATTCTGATAATAACAGAGTAAAATAGAACAGACTTAAAACTCTCATAACAAGTTATTTATGTTTCCAATAGACTGAAAATACATCCAGTATTCCATCAGTCATCCGCAAGCATTCCCTTGCTGTACCTCATGTCTCAGTTTGTTTTGTTTTCTTGCTGAAAGTCATTGCTCTTGGGCTGAGCAGCCAAGCAGAAAATAAGTTTCTGCCTCACTGGACAGAGTGTGAAAGATGCCAGTCTGAGTGTCATTTATTGCCTTATATTTTCTGGAATATCCCAAAGAGATTAATTTCTTCTTTTTCTAAGTCTGTATAAAGTATTTTTTAAAGTCCTCCTAGACCTTTTGTTAAGGTGATGTATTCATATACATTTGTTTATACCTTCCCTTTCTCTCCCCTTCCCTCCTATTGATTCATATGTCCTTAATACAATGAACAAAACAATCTATGTGCTGTTTCTAAGGATTTTTACGCAGTCCAATGGTCACATTAAGTTTCCATTTCCTTTTATTTTTTTCTCAACACTTTTGTTCTACTGTCACAGCCATAAGCAAGGTTCCATGGAAACTCGGATATTCCATAACAGACAGACCCTGGAGTAGTACTTTACTATGAGTACTTTAGTAGAAGATAAAATCCTCCTGAAACCATGATGACCAATGACAAAACCTTCAAGAAAAATAAGGACAGAGTAACTACTTCCTGTTTATACCTGTCATTAAAACAATGACAACAACAACAACAGGAAAATACACAACAAAATGTCATGAACTTGTTATTACATACATAATCCTCAAGACTAATTCATTACTGTACATAAAATATTTAGATCAGCATATTAGTTATTCTCTACTGCCAAGCAGTGTTTATGCTTTCTAGAGTAACCTTTGCAAAAGCTGCTGCTTTTAAACTGAAGGGAAGTTTGCTTATCTAGTATTTTATAACTTCTTA